TACATACATGTATGTATGCAGACATTACTTTTAAAACGTGGAAACTGATTCTGTTCTAAAGCACTGAGATATTAGCCTCTGCTTACAAGTTTGAACAGATTTATTTCATCCTTAAGAGATACTGAAAAATCCTTGTGAAGATTGAACTGAAAATTGGGTAATTTAACTAGATGGTGATATTCTAATTAGGTAGTGGACTCTAGCTCAAAGATTTCTCAGGCTATAGTAATGACAACTCATTGTGACCTTAGAGATCATCTAGCCCAATCACTCTTTTTACTAATAAGAAACTGAAGCAATGGGAGCCACACAAGTAGTTAGTTGCAGAGCTTTAGGATTAGAACACAAGTTCTCTTACTGTGCTCAAGCATCTTTTCACCAGATCATGATGCCTTTTCCTTCTAGTCACTCTTTTTTCTTCCATGTAAACCATTATCTCTATTGCAAAACAAAAACAAACTCTACTATTAATTAAATAATCACATTTCCAAAAGAAAAAAAGTCACATAGCAATAGTATGAGGAGTGATAAATAAAAAAACCTATAAACTTTTGATGTGTCATCTCTCTCTTAATTATATTTTTCAACCCTGTTATTATAGTCTTATTAGTCAATGTAAGTTCATTACCCCATTCTACCCTTTCCACAGAGTTCTTTACTTTAAGCCATGACAATTTGATTTACAAACACATCTGGTCTTATCTGTTTTGTTTGAATCATTATCCTGGTTAGGTATCTTTCAATTGGCCATTTATAACACTTAGCTTCTGTCTCTGAGTGGTGTTCTCTACTGTATTTTCAGCTATTGCTATCAGAAGATCTTTTCTCCCTCTGTTCAGTGTCCAATTCCTATAGAAAAATAAAGGATTTAAGTATGGTGACCTCTCATCTTTCAGAAGTTCCCATGACAGATTTTATCCAGTAAAAAAGGACTAATCACCTGAAGGACATATTGGTTTATGAAAGCCTTTCTCTTTATTTATTAAACTTCTCAGATTAATGAATAAAAAAGAAAAGACGCCTTAGTCATCTTGATCTTCACAGAACTCTTGAATGTATCTCTATACTATTCACTACCTAGCTCCTCCCTACTCTTCTAGTCTTTTTACTCCTTAACTCTTCCCATAGATTATTTTCTCTAGCTCCATCAGCCTACTTGCATTTCTTTCAGTTAGTCAATCAGTCAGTAAGCCTTTATAAACATCTATTATATTTCAGACACTTTGTTAAGCTCTGGGATACAACAAAAGGCAGCCCCCCCCCCAAAAAAAAAAACCAGTTTCTGCCTTTAAGGATCTCATAGTCTGATGAGAGGCAACAAGGAAGCAAATATATACAAAGAAGCTGTGTACAAGATTAATAGAGAACAATCAACACTGTGAAGGCACTAGAATTAAGACAGATTGGGAAAGGCCTCCCACAGAAGGCAGTATTTTACCTAGGATTTAAAAGAATCCATAGAAGCAGGAGCTGGAGATGAGGAGGGAGATCATCCAGGCATGGGAGTCTGTAAAGGTCTGAGAGGGGCTTGGTCATAAAGTGTTTTGAATGCCAAACAAAGGATTTTATGTTTAATCCTGTAGAGATATTGGTGGCAATATCAGAAGACAGAAAGGGATATTTTTGAGAGATGTTGCAAAGGGAAAATGGTAAAGGTTTGGGAAATAGATTGGATATGGGGGTGAGAGATAGTGAAGAGTCAAGCATGATACTCATGTTCATGCTTGGGGGACTGGAAGGGTGGTGGTGCCCTTAATGGTAATAGAGAGGCTTGGGGTGGGGGAAATAATGAGTTCATTTCCAAAACAGGGGTTCCTAACCTCAGGTTTGTGAAAAATGTTTTTTTAAATAAATATAATTGGTTTCCTTTGCAATTGTATACATTTTATTTTATGCATTTAAAAATATTATTTGGAGGTATTCACAGGTTTCACCAGACTGCCATGATAAGAAAAAGGTTAAGATACTCCATTTCTCAACTCTGTACCTTTGCTTTGGCTATCTCTGATGTATCCAGAATGCTTCTCCTTCTCACCTCTGCCTTTTAGCTTTCTTGGTTTCCTTCAGAAATACTTGGGCCAAATTGCATCTTCTTTTTCTGATCCCACTGCTGTTAGTGCCTTATATACCTACTCATTTATATGTTGTGTATCCCATTAGAATATGAGCTCTATGAATGCATGACTAACTGCTTTTGCCTTTCTTCATACCTCCAGCATTTAGCATTGTGCCACAACATCTTAATAAAAGTTGTTTTTGATTGATTATAATTAAGCTGCTTAATGACATCAAAGAACACCAAGCTGAGGTTAATAATTGTAGGAGGGAAGAGCAACCACAATCAGTAATTGTACTTATTTTTTATTTGTAATTGTATTCTGAAAAGATTATCATTTAAAGGCCAGGGCTTTGAATGTGATAATCCTTAAGTGAAGACTTGTTTGTACTCCAAGTCAACTGAGGAAACAAGATTCAGGCCAAACTTCTACTTAATAAATGCAGCAATAAAGGTAAAACTTATGAAGGTTTAGTGAAGGAAAAGGTTGAAATCTCCAGGGAAAAAAATTATCACTTTATGTAGGATCATAGGATTTAGAGGTAGAAGTTGACTTAGAGATCTTCTGATTTGGAGATGGAAGAATCCTTAAAAGCCATCGTATCCCACTACCCAATTTTACAGATGAATAAACCAAGACTGATATCAGGGATTTGTCCAGGGTAAAGCAAATAGTGAATATCTGAGCCAATATTTTGACTCAGATCTTTCTGACAACAGGCCTACCACTCTATCTTTGCACCAACCAAATTATTTAGATTCAGAGTCCAGCTTCATTATGAGGAAACTGAGATCTGTAGAGGTGAAATAATTTGTCCAAAGTTTTACGATAGTAGATGTGGGATTTAAATTATGTTCTTTGGAAAGAAAACAAGTTCTCTTTTCACTATACCACATGCCTGTTGGGCAATATTTGCATGTTAATTTTTAGAAGATTATTATTTATTATTCCTGTGGTTTATTGAGATGGGGATAAGGGTGAAGATCTATCTTTTTCTCCCAAATTGGGCTTTTGCAAATAATGTTAACAATTCAGTGACTGGTACATAAGGGTGCTAATTTTCCTGCTTGCAGTCCTGATAGCATTTGAAATTTTATGTCAATGTTTCATTTGAAGTGTTTTATTTCTTCTGTGTTTTTGTGAGAATCCTTGGATTTTTCTGTTTGCTTGTTTTATTCTTATACGAAATTAGACATGGTGTGTTTGTGCTCTGGTTGTCCCCTAGATATGTTTGTTTTTCTTTTTCCCCTGTAGGCAAAATCTAAAAATACTATCTGCCTCTGCTAAAAGTCTGGTTAGATTCCTGAGTGTTAAACAGTCATACACTTCTCATACATCAATGTCCTGTATATTACATATAAGTAGCAATCAAAGCATTCTGAAATTCTGCTTTGTCATTGGACTATCAGCATTTATGGAGAAGTAGCCCATGGTGGGAGAAATCATGTTTTCTGTAAAATCATAGAAATCTCTTTAACTAAAATAAAGAATGAAACTGTAAGTTTTCTGAAGGTCAGTAAGCAAATACTGAGCCTGACTCTTGCTTAAGCTTGGCTGTAGGAGCTGTGCGTGGAATCCAAGGCAATGTGGCTCTGGGAGGGATAATGGCAAAGGCAAAAAATAAGTTAGCCTGGATATTCTGCCAGTAACAAACTCCAATCTGTTTAGCTCCTGTTGTGCAGTTGGAAATGTGCATCCTATGAATAATCCTTTTTGGGACCAGAGGCAGAAGCAGAGCTCAGAGAGGTGGTTCTTTGTGCCTGTCATAAGGCACAAATGATTTTTAAATTATATTATTAAGAATTTTTATTTATTATTATTTATTAAGAATTTTGCAGAAAGATTTTTCCCCCAATGCAGAGGGAAGACTCAAGCTGTTTTTGTTTTAGTAGAGCCTTGCTTGTAAAGAAGGGTGTTTTCTTTCTCTCTGTGGTATAAATATGGTTTTCCATGTGATAGTAAAAGAATATTTTGTAAACTGTTGCTAGCTGTGAAGCTAAAATAAACTAAAAGAATTCACAAAGAATTTAAAGTGAGAAATAGCCCTTATGAGTTTGTACAATGTGGAAAAAGAATTAGTATGGGCAGGGTAGTTAGCGATTTAAATTTAAATCTCTGTCTCTCTATCTCCTTTCTCTCTTTCTCTCTCTTTCTACACACACACACACACACACACACACACACACACACACACACATGTACAGATACATATAAATATAATATAGTCAGTAGTAAAAAGAAAATTATTATTATTATTATTGTATTTGTTGGGGGAGAGTAACCTTATCCACTCCTGTATTATATTTGAAAGCCCTCATTCTGACGTCTAATACATTATTTGCATATAAAAAGGACTAATATCTATTATCTGAGTCATTCACAAGGGATGTCTTGTCTTTCAATGTAAATAACTGATCCAAACGCCAAGAACTTATTATTATTTTCAAGTAATTCTCCCTCCCCCCCTCCCCAATTTTCCTTTAAAATTACATAAACCTTGCAATGGTTTTGGCAAAGAGTATGGGTACACTTTAGTTTGCTTCCAGATTACACAATGACAATTTCATTTGTAAAATTCTTCCTAATTGAATTGGAACACCAATGTTTTGGCAGTCAAAATGTAAATTGATGGGGGCATACTATTTCCAAGTATACTACAAAGTTCCTTATAAGTTCACAACAGAGGTGAATATTTTAAGACATAAAATATGACAGAATCAATAACAAATTAAAAAAGAGAACAGGAAACCACAATGAAATCAAAAGAATATGTTACAAGGAGAAAGCCTAAAAACAGGAATCAAATAATCTAATGTAGTATTAAAAGTCACAACATACTAACTATATGTATATATATGTATACATATATACATATATATGTGTTGATGATTATAAAATATATATGTATGTATTTTTTTTCTGGGAGCTCCAAATACAACCTACTTTCTCATAGTGCTTGATCTCGTAGTCCAGAATAGCTCCATTGGAAAACTCAGGTGCTTGCCATGAGAGGGCAATGCTATTTTGGGATGCCCAGTCCTTCCTTACATTACCTATCAAGGATGGTGCTGAAAGGGAAAAAGAATAACTAAGAGTTAATAGGAAGCACTTTCCATATTCTTTTCTCTAATGCTTTTACTTCCTAGAAAAAAAAAGTGAATTCTGGTTGAAGGCAAGATAGATGACCTGATAAATTATGTATGCAATTTTTTCTTCTTTTTATGTTTAAGTCTCAGGGTCTATTCCAGTAACCATAGTTAAAAATAGAGAAATAAACAAACAAATAAATAAAAATCTATCTATCTATCTATATCTATCTATCTATCTATCTATCTATCTACATATATATTATATACATAAATATATAAGCAGCGCTAAGGAAATGTGATGTAATGAAACAACACCAAATTTTTTTTTTAACAATAAAGAACCATATTCAGCAATCTATAGCTACTCCAGAATGTTAGTGTAAAAAGATTGCTTTTGGCCTATGCTCTGAAGTTCAACAAGTCTATATTCTCTGCTTAATGAAAATTTAAAAAGTTATTATTCACAGCAAAATAGTAGGAGCAATTATAACCTCTAAGAAATTTGGCATTTTCTTCAGATATCTTAGGACCTTTTAAATCTTACTATCTAACTACTCTTCAGACTTTGTGATTTTTGGCTTCCATTTTGTGTAACCTTATTGACAATATTTCCACTCCTTTATACCTCTTAGATTCTAAATTTGATTACCATGAAATACATGGCTTTCTTTTTTATGTAATATTATTTAAAATGTTTATGAGAAAATGGAGACTTTACCAATCTTTAGACACTCCTTAGCTCCCACCTCCCTTTCACCTTTCTATAACCTTATCTTACACACACAATACTCATCGAAAATGGACCTCTTTAGACACTCCTTAGCTCCCACCTCCCTTTCACCTTTCTATAACCTTATCTTACACACACAATACTCATCGAAAATGGACCTTGGTTTGGGCATACAATCATAAACTTATAAAACGTAAAAGTTTGATCACATAACTTAAAAATAGCCTATTCAAATATGTGATTTCTATCATTTATTGCGCAATGTCTTCTTTAGTTTAAAAGTTACACCCAAATAGTCAAAAATAGGTGCTTAAATAATAGTGGCAGCAAAAGATATTGGTCACTAGGTAATTACTAGTTAATATAAGTTAGTATAAAATTTAATCAAGCTTTAATCATCCAGGTTAGCTATCAGGAATTAATTAACTGGAAAATAAGTAGATATTTTCCTTAGCTTTGATCATATAGTTCTATTTAGAATTAAAATAATGAAGTCATTCTACTCCATAGTAACAATCAACCAATCAATAAGCATTTATTAAGTTCCTACTGTTGGGATTCATGGGCATCCCAAAATATTGGGGTATACCAGAATGACCAGGTATAGACAAGTAGGTTATAGTGTCTTGAAGAAATTCACTTGAACCATCTCCAAATTAAACAAAAGGTATTTATTGGGGTAACACACTCAGCAGACTTCATTAAAGTCCCACTGGGGCCCTGCACCTCATGGGAGACAGAGTGCTATTATATGTCTGGTCTACATACAGTTTAACAGGATGGGGGGGACTGCTACAGTTTAAGAAAATGGCAGAGGCAACAGGAGAGGGTAGGGTGAATGCACACAGAGAAGTAAGAGAAACAGGAAAGGAGAGGGGAAGAGCCTTTTGGAATGTCAGGTAGTTGGAGGGTGCTTTGTGAATGCATACAGTTAAGCAAGGGGAACAGGAAAAGGGTACAGATAAGTCTGAGGTGGGGGTATCCATGCATAGTTTTCTTGATTACTTCTCTGGATGGTCATATACTGTATTTTGTCTCATATCTCACATCCTGCATCCTGTTTGTTCAATCTACCTTGAACACTCCTTTCTGCCTTGCCTCATCACTACTAAGTGCTAGTCACTGTGCTAAGTTCTGGGGATATAAAGAGAGGTAAAATTCCTTGCCCTCAAGAGCCTCACATTCTCATCAGGAAGATAGCAGCAAACAAGCTGGTAAATACAAGATATATACCGAACACATCAGAGGTAGTTACAGAGAGGAAGGCATTAGCAGCCTGGAGGATTAGGAAAGGCCTACTACTGAAAGTGGGATATTAGAGATTTGAAGGTAGCTAGGAAAAGTAAGAGACATTCTAGTCATGGGAGCAAGCCTATGCAAAGCACAGAGATAAAAGATGGTGTATTGTGAGTGAGGAATAGCAAGTAGGTTAGTATTACTTGAAAACAGAGTATATGGGACAGAGTAAATTGTCAAAAAATTGACAAAGTAGGAAGAGGTCAGGTTATGGAGAGCTTTCAATTCTAAACAGAAGGCTTCACAGTCATTTGCACACCCTGCTGAAAACACTTTGGCCATTATCTCTTTTTCTTCCCCAGAAAAAACCTCAGATTCTGTACCTGGAGCTATCCTGGACTCTGATAAGGTGATAAGGACTCAAGATAAGCCTCATCTTGCCAAAAACCAGGCTTCAACTGCACTTTCTGGCTGTCTCCATAGAATTCCTCCTTCTCCCAGTTCCCTTTTTTTTTTTTTTGCTTTTTGGTGAGGCGATCAGGGTTAAATGACTTGCCCAAGGTCACACAGCTAGTAAGTGTTAAGTGTCTGAGGCTAGATTTGAATTCAGGTCCTTCTGACTCCAAGGCCAGAGCTCTATTCACTGCACCACCTAGCTGTCCCTGTCCCCAGTTCCCTTTATGGGTTATCTTCCTCCATTAAAATGTCATCTTCTTGAGGCCAGAATCTCTATTGCTTATTTGTATTTGTATTTCCAACACTTAGCGCTGCCAAGAACATATTAAGCACCTATTTAATGACTGTGAGTCCTAAGCCTCCTATCTCCTGCTATGGAGCTTTGACTTGCCTCTCCTGCTGCACCATTTCCTGCTTAATTATTCTATGGAGGGAAGAGGAATAGTGAAGTTAGATCTCCCATCTGATTATCTGACAATCTACCTCTCATTTCTTGTTGTACTTGCCTCCAGCCTGTTCTCCAGCACCCTTTGGGAAGTGGAGTGACACGTTTCACTGAATGTTGAACATTTTCACAATTGATCATATCTTTCATATTCCATTGATTTTTAATGATGACCTAAAGGTCGTCATCCAAAATCCATTACTGACTCCCACATCTCAGTTCCTTATTCACATCCCCTTCAACATGTCCCAAACCAAAATTTCAACTGAATACCATGTAGCCCTTCCATTGTACCCTGTGGAATACCTGTTCCATAGGGGGAGAAAAAGCTTCCTTTCATCTTAAATCTTTTTTTCTCTCGTTCCATCTATCAGCTAATACTGAAACCTTGCTCCCCCTGATGACACAGCCTTCTTGACCACTCTTTCCAGTATTTTTTGCTGTACCTTTACCTCAGGTCAAGGAAGGGAAGCTGGAATACTCTTTGCTTCCCATTGCTACTTTCAGGTTCTCCCCTTACCTCTATCACTCGGTAGTCTCTTCTTTGAGTTTCATGCCATTGATATCTACCACCCCAATCAAAATCCTAGCAGCTGTTCTCCATAGATCTTCAGGTCATTCCTCATGGCTTACAGTTTTTTTCTGCTCCTCAAATCCTTCCTTCATATTATGGAAATTCAACATATGTATTGATTCTCTCTCAAACACCCTAACTGCTCAGTTTCTCAACATATTTTCTTTTCATGAATTACTCCTCCATCTCCATCCTCCTCAGTCACACACAAATATGGTCATTCCCTTGATTCTGCCATCACCTACAAATGTACCATCTCTCTATTCAAGAAATCAAAAATTACATCATCTGACCATAATCTCCTGGCTTTTCAGTTCTCCTTTTGCCTTCTCTAATAATACCCTGCTTTTTATCTATACTGTGATCTCCAGTCCCTTGACCCTTCAATTTTCTCTCAGTCCTCCTCCTCCCCAATTCTAGCTACTATCTCCTCTTTTCCCTATCTTTGACATCTTGGCAAACTAACTCAATTCTACACTGTTTTCCTCTCTTGATTCCATATTCCTCCTATTTCTCCAATTAATTCCTGCCAAGTCTTAGCCTTGGATCACCCCCACCATTCACCACCCTCTCTCATACACATATGGGGCTGAATGAAAATAATGAAAATTATACAATCATTCTGATTGAATATAAATTTATGTTATACAATCTCAACTCAACCCTCATTGGTGCTAGGTAATCTTTCTATGCATGTTTTATCATCTTACTATCTTTTTTTGGCAGGGACTCTTCTGAACTTTTTCATTCCTTTTCAAAGCCCCCATCAGTTTTCTTCTCCATGATCCTGTCAGCTGAGAAACTTGCCTAATATTTTACTAAAAATTGAGACCACTTGCCATGAGCTACCTCTTATCCCCTCTCCCTTATTACATATCACTCAGATGCCTTCTGCCACTATCTCCTCCTTCATCCATATCTAACATGGTGATGTGGCCTACCACTTATCAAGGCTAACCCCTCTAACCTACTCAAGTAATCCCATTCCTTCCCATCATCTATAGCAGATTGCTCCCTCTGACTTTGATACTCTATCACTTATTTTCTTTTTATTTATTTCTTTTTTGTTTTCAACATTTGCTTTTATAAGATTTTGAGTTGTAAATTTCACTCCTCTTCTCTCTTCCCCCCTCCACAAGATGGCATGCAATTTAATATAGGCTATACATGTATGATCATATAAGACATATTTGCACATTAGTCATGGTGTCTATCACTTGTTTTCATTCTCTTCTTGTCTACTGGCTCATTCTCTACCTCCTACAAGCATGCATCTTACATGCTCAAAAAAAACCCCCTCACTTAATCCTCACATCCCCAATAACTATTGTCTTAGATTTCTTCTATTTTTTGTGGCTAAGCTCCTTGAAAAGATTGTCTACTTTGGAGAGAAAAGTATCATTAAGGGATGGTGGGGCTAGGAGCAGGGAGTAACTTTACATATAATTTTTCAACATTCATTGAAAGTTAAAATTTATTGACCTCCAAACTGCCATTTCCTTTTATTGTTCTTGGGATCCTTTCACTGAGCTCCATAC